TCAGGTCTTCACTGATCTGATGGACTCTGTTGAGAGGAACAAGAAGAATTTTGTGAAGGAGATCGAAGACAAACAGAAAACGACAGAGCAACAGGCTGAAGACTTCATCAAACATCTGGAACAGGAGATCTCTGAGCTGATGGAGAGGAGCTCTGAGGTGAAGCAGCTCTCACGCTCTGAAGACCACCTCCACCTCCTCCAGAGCTTCAGGTCCCTGAAAGCTGCCCCACCCACCAAGAACTGGACCGAGGTCAGAGTCCATCCTCCATCATATGAGGTGACTGTGGTGAGAGCTGTGGCTCAGCTGGAGCAGAACCTCAGGGAGAAGATGAAGAAGCTGTTTGAGGCTGAGCTGAAGAGGGCCCAGAAGTCTGAAGTGGATCTGACTCTGGATCCTAAAACTGCAAACCCTGGCCTCATCCTGTCTGTTGATGGAAAACAAGTTCACCGTGGTGATGTGAGGAAGAAGCTTCCAGACAACCCAAAGAGATTTTCTCAGTATGCTTCTGTTTTAGGGGCTCAGAGTTTCTCTTCAGGCAGATTTTACTTTGAGGTTCAGGTTAAAGGAAAAACTGGATGGATTTTAGGAGTGGCCAGAGAGTCCATCAACAGGAAGGGACTCATCACAGTGAGTCCTAAATATGGCCTCTGGACATTTGGGTTGATAAATGTAAATGAGTACGCAGCGGCTGCTGAGCCTTTAGTTCGTCTGAGTCTCCAGCCTGGTCCTGAGAAAGTGGGGGTGTTTGTGGATTATGAGGAGGGTCTGGTCTCCTTTTATGATGTTGATGCTGCAGCTCTGATCTACTCCTTTACTGGCTGCTGTTTCTCTCAACAACTCCACCCGTTCTTCTGTCTTAATAATAGAGGTACAAACTCAGCTCCTCTAATCATCTCTCCTGTCAGTCAATCAGCCTGATGTTTCCTCTGAAGCTTCATGATCAAAGAATCAATAAAGAGTTCAGTTCACAGCTGAATTTATTCTATTTCTCCACATTTATTTGGTATGTTTTGCTCTCAAATACAGAATGTGATCATTAATTATATATGCAGTATATACATATATATATATGCAGTATATACATATATATGCAGTATATATATATATATATACACTGTATATATATGTATATACACAATATATATTATATATATATAATATATATATTATATATAGTATATATATATATATATATACTATATATATAGTATATATATATATATATATA